ACAGGTGACTCTAGAGAAAGTGTTGGGCATCACCTCTTCAGGAAACAGCGCTCTGGCCTGCGACCCTCGATCCGGACTTGTGGCCTATCCTGCAGGGTGAGACGAGAGAGACTGTTTATGCGCTGTTATCTTCCTAATCTGACCTTTGACTTATCGGCGCTCCGCTCGCCCCCAGCTGCCTTATCATATCTACCTCGTGCGGATGTTTAGTGTGCAAATTTCTGCATGTGTGTGTGTTATCTCTGCATCATCTCTGGAGCTCTGTGTTTGTTTGTTTTTCTTTATCCCATCCTTGGGGAGGCTGTCTCTGGCACAGTGATAGCTTGTTGTGCAGTATTATTAATTCTTGCTGCTATAGCTTTAATCAGCATAGAATATAAAAATGAGGATGGTTATGCTGGATGGTTTAGATCTGCAGTGGTGATAGTGGGGGGGTTGGCCTCGGAGTGGGTGAAAGCAGTGTTTAAAAACAAGCAGGGTCCTGCCAGGTCGCAACAAAATCTGTGCACTTGAGCTGATTTTGTTCTCAAACCTTCCAACAAAGCTGTATTAAAATTAAGAAGGCCAGCGGTCAAAGGGGGAAACGAGGAGAATTAGAGCAGTATTGCAACAACATGTCAAAGGAGTGTAAGGGTGTGTGTGTGTGTGTCAGTGTGAGGTATGCATGGGCACGTCTTTGCACAAATGGTACTGCTCATCGTTGTACTAAATGGTGCACAATCTGGCAACCCACCTGCTGTCTCAGTTTAAATCTGTGCAAGCTGCTCTGTACCAGGAATGCAGTTTCCTGGCACGGTGCAGTTCACCAGCAGGTCCAATGCTGATCTAAGTTCTGCTCACGAGCTAGGATGCAAAAAGGATTTTGAATTAATAGGTAGCAATATTATGCGTCCGTTATTTCAATATGGAAAAGTATATGATGAAATATATAGTATAGACCAGGGGTAGGCAACTCCAGGCCTCGAGTGCCGGTGTCCTGCAGGTTTTAGATGTCCTTGATCCAACACAGCTGATTTAAATGGTTAAATTACCTCCTCAACATGTCTCGAAGTTCTCCAGAGGCCTGGTAATGAACTTATCATTTGATTCAGGTGTGTTGACCCAGGGTGAGATCTAAAACCTGCAGGATACCGGCACTCAAGGCCTGGAGTTGCCTACCCCTGGTATAGACTAAAAATGACTCACGCTATGTCTAGTCGTGCTTTCATTTTTCATGTAATGTAGTGTAATCTTCTTTCTGAATGTTCTCTCTAAGGAAGTTATTCTGTATTTTGAAAACTAGACTAAGGACGGAAAATCTTGTGCACTTTCCCAACCCGAGGTTTAAAATGTGTGCGCGCTTGTGTTCCTATTCATTTCGTTTTTGCAGGAACACCCAGTCATCTCCAAGTTTCAGTCGTCTAGCTTTTGATTTATGGTGAAGTTGAAAATTTTGGAGGTAGTTCTCCTTCTTCATTAATATATCCAACTGGTGCAATGTACAACTACAAAATGACCCCAGAGCATGATGCTACCACCACCCTGCTTCACAGGAAGTGCATTGTGCTTAGGTTTGACCTTTACTCCTGAAAGGCATACCCCTTGTCATTGTGGCCAAATGGCTCAATTTTTGTCTCTTCTGACTGTAAAATATTACTCCAAGGTTTTTTGGTCATGCATGTCGGCAGCTGCAAACTTCAGCCGAGCTTGAAGGTGTCGATTTTGCAGTAATGTAAAACTCACTTCACTCTGCAAAGTGGTGACACATCGAAACAACAAAGAAATCATTAAAAGCCTAAAATCTTCATTCGTCCATGCCCACGATGAGGGTGCGCAAGCTCCTGACTTCATCTGTATGTTTCGCACAAAAAGAAAATGATAAATCATGAATGCAGAGTTTTGACCACAACACACACAGCTGATTTAAACCAGGAAATATTGATGATTTATTGGGGTTATTATTGTGTTGTGGGGTAAAATTAAATAAAAATAAAGAGGAATTAGAAATAAAAAGTGGTTGGAAGTTATCCAGCTGATCTTTTGGTCATTTGTAAGTTTCATAAATTCATTTCTGCACATGATTAGTTGTTTTTTTGCAATCACTACATATGTCAATTATTTAATGCTTTCCTAGAACATTAACAGCACCAATGTTTACAGTTTCTACTTCTCGCTGTTACAACCAAGGAAAAACTTCCAGATAAAATTCAGCCATTAGCATCAGGCTTTCTTTGGAGTTGCACACATGTTTAAACATTTGCACCTATAAGCTCTGTCATCAATTTATTAACATAAAATGGCCATTTTCCTTAAGTGTGTGCATCGTTTCTCGACCTGTTCCATATCAGATATTAATATGCATTACTGCATTTCTTGGTTTCCTTTTGCAGGTGTGTGGTAGTCTTACTGAACCCCAAAAAGAACAGGCAGCACCACATTATCAACACTTCAAGGTGAGTCACCCACCAGTACAGTCTTCACTGAAGCAGAGCAGCACTGAGCTAATCATGCTGTGATGTTATCCTCTGTCCCTCTCACAGGAAAACCATCACAGCTCTGTCTTTTTCCCCTGACGGCAAACACTTGGTGACAGGAGAGGTGAGTTTCATCACCCTCACTTTTCTCACTTTGTCTCTGCAGCTAAACTCAAACTTGCGTCTGTCCTCTCGTCGTCTGTTTAGCTTTCTTTGGTTTTTGCTGCGTCAAGCGAACATCACAGTAGGACTGGTGTTTGCAGAATTCAGAGAATTAGCTTGTTCCCGTCTTCAGTTATCCACAGTATAAGAAGGAGTTAGCGCGCTGTGCTGCGAACACCCCGGCAGGATGGAGGCTTGCTGCGGAGCTCTGTGTTTGCAGCCTCTCCTCTTTAGAAGGCCTTGTTCTGTCGCGTCACAGCGTAATGTGTCTTTTCAGTCAAGCATCTTGAATCGGTTTTGTTGTAGTTACAACGCGGGCCTCGACACAACACGCTATCTTAATCCTCCCCGGCCAATCAAAGCCGATTAAAGACTTCTCTGCATAAGTGGATGGGCAGGCAGCAGTTGCTATGACGACAAAGACCAAAGTTCAAAAGACCAAATAGACTTGAGGATATTCTGTTCTCCTGGATTCTCCTGGAATTCAAAGGGAAGCATGTGCTAAAGTCCCAACGTTAGAATACTTTGAGTAATTAAAACTGGTTAGAGATCGCAGTAGATGTGGTGGACAAATATTAGAGCTGAGTGTTAGCATTTTGGTCAGCCAGCAGACGTATTAAAGCCCTTTTTAACCCGCTGCGCTCGGTGATCAAAGCTGAGCGCATCACAGCTGTATTAGATGTTTTCCCACAGGCCCTTTAAAAGGAGGAGTAAAAGATATGCCCGAGTGAGTGATCTGATAAGAAATGTCCCTCACACACACACACACTCATTCATCAAACAGTAGCTCGTTTACATACAGGGCCAGGCTGACAGCGGATGCGCGGGCTGTTTCGTCCTCCTCTTCTTGTGTGTCTTTTGTATGCAGCTCTGTCTTCGGTTGAATGTCACACTATTTCTTTTGGACCTAATAACTCTGACCTTTGAAAGGTCCTTTTACCATATTATAATAGGAGACTACACAAATAGTCTGCTGAACTTTCGATCCCCAGGTGGGAATAATGTGAGCAGGTCAAGGGACAAGTAGACAATCAGAGGACAGAGAGAGGATGATCTTCTAGAGAGATGGACAGACAGGAAGGACAGGTGACTCCTGAGCGGAGCCTGTTTCAGTCGACGAAAACATTAAGACGCTTTGGTGTATGAATGGAGGAGTGTTCGCCATCTTACTAACAACCTAACATTGTTTTTAAACGTTGCCTCCTCCCCACTTGCCATTTTTTTTTCATCAGAGCGGTCACCTACCGGCGGTGAGAGTATGGGACGTGGCAGAACGGAAGCAAGTGGCTGAGCTCCAGAAGCACAAGTACAGCGTCTCCTGCGTGGCTTTCTCCCCCAATGGCAAATACATAGTCAGTGTAGGAAATCAACATGACATGATGGTCAACGTCTGGGCGTGGAAGGTTTGTCTCCCTTGAAAGTTTCTAAAGGTCAAATCCTACCTGTGCTTTTACACCTTCTTCCGTTCTCCTGACTGCTTTAACCCTTTAAGACCTACCATAGAACCAAGTCCGCCAGAGCTTACATTATATTTTTACATGCTGTGGAGCCATTTTTGGGAGCATTTCAAGTTGCTATACATCAATACAACCATTACAGCCTAGATTTTAATAATATGTATGAATTAAGTGCATAGTGATTACATAAATTGCAAAAAAGTGCAATAAACTACAAAAAAATTGAAAATCGTTTTTGTTTTTTTAACATATATTTCTAGTTAGAGAAATTTAAGAGGCTTATCCCTCAAAACTGTAAATACAAAAAAGTTGCACAAAATAGTTTCCCACCACAGGAAATTTATTTTGAGTGCCTTCATAGTTTTATTTTTGAAAATAATTCCAATTCCTATTCCAAGTAGGAAGTGTTATGAACAGCTGATCGGATCGGCAAAGCGTGTTTCTGGAATATTATGTTTTTGTTGCTGCAAGCGCTTTTTATGCAGTTTTTTCAAAGCTATATGTGGAAGGAAACTGTGACCTAGCACAAGCTGATGGCATAAGATGTAAGTACAACTCTTCAGGTTTCATATGCAAAAAAAATTATTGTGCTAGCTCACGTGGTTGCAGAGCTACTGGGATTTAAAAATAGTTATGCAAAACAGAGCGTGCCCGCTCTGACCGGTTTTAAAGGGTTAATCGGGACAATGATGGTTTAATGTCTGATGACTGGCAATTTTTAAGCTCAATTTTTTTCAAACTCTAAATAAAAAATAACTTTAAAGTAGTGAAAATGTCTAAAACCACGTAGTGAATGTGACGTTATGCTGTTGAGCAGCGAGTCCTATTGTGTTTTAGTTGCGTGATCTTTTTCCAATGTGTTGTTCTTTGCAGAAAGATGTAATAGTGGCCGCTAACAAGGTGTCCAGTAAGGTGAAAGGTGTGTCTTTCTCCGAGGACAGCTCCTACTTTGTCACAGTGGGGAACAGGCATGTCAAGTTCTGGTATCTGGATCACTGCAAGGCCAACAAGGTATGAGAGGCTTTCCTATCTTTTATTACTGCCTGGAGTTATTTCCCTACCTTTTACTTCGGCTTTATTTTTGCATAATTGAATAACTTTAGTGCACTCTTACATTATGCAAATACATTTGTGAGACCCAGGGATTATTAATTTTCAGCAGCACACATGCAACATTTCAGGGAAGCACTTTAACTCCTTCAGTTGGAGCTTTATCGGCTAACCATCACCCCTCTGTGCTATGTAGGCCAGCGCTCCTGTGCCTCTGCTGGGCCGCTCCGGGCTGCTGGGACAGCTGAGGAACAATTTCTTCTGTGATGTTGCTTGTGGACGTGGCTCTAAATCAGACTCCACTTTCTGCATTACTTCCTCTGGCCTGCTGTGTGAGTTTAACAGCAAGAGGATGCTGGACAAGTGGGTGGACCTTCGGGTGAGTGAGAGGGGAGGGGCTGTCTGCAGGTGAAAGGTAGAGGCGGGACTAACCAGACACCCCACTATATGATCAATGTGATTTTTTTTTTTGTGACATATAAGAAAACAAAACAAAATGAATAAGATATTCATAAATCTCCAATTAAAATGTTGTCAGTATTTGTTTTATCTAATAAGATAAAGTAATCATACTTAAATTATTTGGATTTGTGTCATTTTTTGCTGCAAAATTATATTGTCAAGCAGCAACAACAAGCAAACACCAACACTGTGACTAAAACCTGCTACAAGATGAATTGAACGGGGTCAAGTTGACAATTACACGCATTCAGCTTCTGATTAGCTGTGATAAATCACCGAATTCAA